AATTCGGATGTCTAAGAGAAACTATGTAGCACCTATAATTCTAATATATTATTATTTTTACATAAAAAAATTAATTACTATAGCCAAAGATAAGATTAAATTAATGAAAAAGTTGGGTATACAATAATGTTCATACTTTCTTAACAAAAAATTGCAAAAGAAAGTCAATTTTTATATATCTCCCCTTAAAATCGCACACCTCACGGTTCGGTTGATTTTTCTCTATAAAACGTGAAAATCATACAGAAGCATGTTTCCATCTTTTATTGCGTGACAAAAGTATAACCAAAATTATAGCAATACTCGAGAAATAAAATAAAATTTGTAGTTACGTAGAGAACTTAGCTGTGCAGTAAAAATCGTACACTTTGGTAAAACTAAAATCAGCGGATCGTCAATTTTATGCTGTTCAACGATAGATAGCAAAACTACAAAAATTCAAGTGAACTAAGTAAAACGGTGATTAAAATTAAAATTGAAACAACGAAGAAAGGATAGCGTTGAAAATTCGTGGCATATATACCTGAAAGAAGTTTCACGTGGAATTTTCAATGAATATTTTTCACTATTAAATCACGACAGAAGCTATGCTTTGACTGCTGATCCGTCTTAAATCGGGCTATCGATGAAAACTTCAGCTTTTATGAAATCATGAATTTATCAGAGCTTTATACGAAGAGAGAACCGTCCGATGCCCACCAGTGTACAATACAACGTCTGCATTATAAGTTTAGCGAGGCATATTGTATTCGTAACAATGGTCAGACAGTTTCATGTCATCCTTTATGCTTTAACAGAGGCGTACGATGAATGTGATTCATGGTTTATGGCAACACTTTCTATTTCACGATATTCTATACTTGGTCGTTTAAAATGGTTCGCGGGAAACTGTGAAAATTTATCGCAACAAACACCCTTTGAATGAACCCTGCGAGGATAAGGTGGCGTCACTGGCGACGACAGTTACATTGTAACGTTTGTTTGTTTCATCGACTAACAACTACAGCCGCTACGATATTTCCCACCTTTGCAACTGTTAACACAAGCATCGTTTCCTATCCTTCGAATGTAAGAGAATTCGAGGGCGCCGTTGAGACGGGCATTCGGGCGGCCGGCCCGGATGTTTATAGTAATAGGAGTAGGCGATAACGGGCCCGAGGACTACGACGTCACGAGCATCGTCAACCAACACTCAAGGCCCTTGGCGACGCACATTTAGTAACGGTTGGAAAAAGGGGATTTCCTAATTAGAAAGCCAGTCTTGGTTAGAGTCGCACGGTGACGATCTAAGCGAGTTAACCCACGCAATATTCAATAAATCCATTTCTATAAAATACGCGTCAATTTCTCAATTCTCCTTACACGAATTATTTAAATTTACATTCTTAACACTTTAAGCGCCGGGCCTGCTTTAACCCTTGTACGACGAATGCAGGGTCATTTTGACTCGACAGCGATAAAGTCAGGCGGATAAGATTAGACCTCAGGGGCCGTGACCGACTTTTTCCATCGGTGCGGCACGGGAGTTCATGACCCCGAAGAACCTGAGTGCACGAGCCCAGGGGAGGAAGTACTGCTCCTCCCGCCGGGTTCCGGTCTGGTGGCCGCCCGCGCAGGGGGG